GTTATAAAGAAATTAAAATGGAAATATTAAATGTGAAGAGAAAATCAACAGCGGCACATTTAAATAATCTTATTGACCTGCGTGTTCATCCAAGTGTGAGAAGTGGAAACAACAGATCTAAAATTTGTTTATGGGTTTTAAAAAAAATGACTCCCTTTTACACACAACTTAGGCTGTATCTCCCAATTCCTTTAAAAAAAAAAAAAAAACCATACTGAAATATTTAGCTGTGCAGGCATGAGATAACACTTTTTGCTCTTTTTCATCAAACAAACCTGGAGTGACCACAGCAGCCAAGGTGACGGATTTCACCGCTGAAATGTAAGGAGTCTGCATTAAACAAAAACAATTAAAATAAAAAAAAAAGGAACACAGATTGTTTTAGCAAAAGTGCTACAGGCCTATGTTCATTCATTAAACGTCACCTGCAAAACATAGACAGGAAAAGGGGAAAAAGGGATCCTGCTGTTCTTGTATATTTTAAAATATAATTCATGTCATGCTAGCAGATCCTATGATCAACCAAAAACAGATAAAAACACCAGCCTGGGTTCACTGAATACCTAACTCAGAGGACAAAAGCTTGGTAGTGTTACATGCATACCTTTAGTTTGTCACTAGTCAGGTATGCTCTCGGCTCAAGAGCTCCAAACAAACAACAGCAACAACAAAAAAAACAGCTATAATAAAAAATACTTGAAATTCAACTTGCACCTTACTAGAGAAGGGAAAACACTTAAGATAAAAAAAACTGAAACTAAAACAAAGTAAATAAAGACAGCAACAGGATTATCAATGATCATGATAATAACAATAACAAAGATAGTATATTTATACATACGGCAGAAAAATTTGCTTTCTACAAATCTTTGGAACAAAAACAAAAGCAAAAGTAAGCCACGTTTTGGAAATATAGAATACAACAGTAGAGAAATATGCACAATAGTAAGATGTTTTGCATTTAAATATTTTTATTAACTCAGTGACAGAATCTCTCCCTCGCTCTGTAACGGCTACTGGCAGCATCTTGAAAACAGTTACCAACTAAAGTATGTTTCAGGAAGACTCATTGGATGTTGGACTTTGCTCTATAAAGGACGGAGCATGAGGGGAATATCCAAATAATAAATCTATACAATAACGGATTAAACAAATACTTAAACCCCAGGGCTGGGTGTGTTACTGGATCTGAAGCTAAAATCAACTCAATGAAAGAATGTTTGCTGTGTAGTGTTGCACTTTTTGTAGTGTTTAGCGAAATCCTGCGCATGAGCAGGACGATATGAGACTATAGTTGTGTCAAATAGTCAACAGGTGAAGGATTTTTTAGATGCTTATTTTCTGAATTTAACCCCAAGGTTCACTGTTGAATCTACAAGTTCCATACCAGCAGCGCCTGCTGTGTGGCCGAGTCAAACAAAATCATGGTTTAATAAGAATAAGAACAATTACAATAATAATAATAATTTGGTAACTTTTTTCTCTAAACTAATTTCTTTGCATATCATAACAATCTTAAGTTTAAAGGTTTACCATTTCCACATACTAAGGAAACATGAGGTAAGGAACAGCTCTATTAACCCTCCCTCCTTCAGCTCTTGGACAGGACTTAGCGTTATAAACTGTCACGTCTTCTTTCTGAGCCGCAGTGTTCAGCCTCCCTCTACGAGAACAAATTAAGAATGGAAATCCTCTCTCAATACTATCCGCCATTGTTGAGGAATTATTAAATCCATCGGTGTGTTTTATCATTTTAGTGACTCGTCGCTCTGATTCAGAATGTTTGTAGGTGCTCTTTCAGTGCACCTTCCTGCTTCCTACTGCTCCGACATCACACAGCGTTCAGCTTTTTCTCATAAATGGCTGACAGCTGTTTACATGTCAGTTATCCATATACAGCTTTTGGAAGAACATCTGGGCTCCATCCCGAGTCTTGTGCTGCTGAGTGCCGAGGGAATAAGAAGGGGCGGACTATAATACAGCCGTGCAATAGGGACAATAGGGAAGGTGGCCATTTTAAGTCTTTATTTTATTCTTCTTTTTTGATGTAAAGGCCATCTGTATGTCTTTAATACAGCATTCCTCTATTTCTGAAGTAGCATATATAAGGAAACGTGGGACTGCTCTGGGGTAGGGTCTGTAATATCTTGTTGTTGCAGCTGGATCCACTCTTTAAAAACTGGGTGCAGACCACCTCCACAACAACAGAGGGAGCTCTTCAGAGTGATTCAATGGAAGAGAGGAGCTCCAGGCAAACTGTCCTCAGTAAGGGGCAAATCTACTGTAGCCTCCCCTGTACAGTGTTGCCTGTAAAATGACAAAAGAAAAGAACCTTGTGAATAAAATCTTTCATTACACTCAAAATTCTAGCATAAGCTCACAAAAACCCAAACTACTACAGTATCATGTGGTCTGTGTAGCCAAAGCCTTAGATATCTCATTCAGTCTGTTAAAAATACATAAATGAACCACCCCATTGCACTGAGGTACCTTCATTACCATGAACATGGATGCTGTAGTTTAAGTCAATCCATAAACCATCCTAGTCACAGCCACATTAACCTGTTAAGGGGCTGTGGGATAAAAAGCAAAAGCACCCAGCCTCAGATTTACTGTAAGAACATTAAACAATAAATTTAGTCATATAACTAGATTCTGACACAAGGTCACTCTTTAAGACCCAGTTATAATGTCAGTTGTTATGGCACATACTGTATTCTCAAACAAAAATTCAAATGATTATAATTTACTTAATTTAAACAAAACAACAAAACCCAAATGTTTCAGGAAATTAAACTATATCTTGTGACCTGATCTTCAACAGGAATGGTAGGGAGGTTGTAAAGTAGTGAGTGGTGGACGAATGCGTTGTCAACTTTGCTATTTTTTTTATTGTTATTTGTTGACAACAAGAAAAACACTGAATGCTGCTATCCTTATGCTTTAAATATTAAAAAATACATACACTTACCATGGCTCCAACACCATAGGCAGCTGGGGCAAGTGCAGCATGGTAGGGGTCTGTCGTGTAAACTCGTCCGTAGCTGTTAGAAAGCAGCAAACGCATCCAACATGAGGTTCAAATAATATTGGGAAAAAAGAAAAGAAGATATTCAGCTCACAACACAGCAGCCTGTAACTTCAGGAGAAAATTAGGTTTCTGTTGTTTAGAGTTCACTTTCTAGTCTCTGATTTGTTTAGGAATGTTGCCCCCACCTGGAGCGACTTGGCAGCTGAATGATTACAACACAATAATATACTCAACACAACTTAGTGGCCTAACTCGGAAAAATAAACTTAGAAACTTAGAACTTAAATGAATCTTATCCCCACACTACTTAAGAGTTTTTCCTCTTTGGTCATGATCTGGAGAAAATTATCCCTATGACTTCCTGTCCTGTAGAATTACTACATTTTATTACATTTTCCTTTTAATTGCAACTTCTTCAAAATGATGTGGTTTGATTTCTCTCTGGTCTTATACAGAAGATTTCTACCATTTTCTTAAAGTGTGAGGTACATGTGTTGTTTTTCGACTTAATGACAATGTTTGCTAGCATTACTAGCAAATTACTATAAAGAGAAATGATCCACCATGATATGTAAAACAACTGCAAGGAGATGCAGAACAACTACAAAGGCCAGGGGCCCATTGCATCATAATCCTTCCACGCTCTCATGACCTTTCACCTAGCTGTCTCGCTGCTGGCCTGTCAGCAGAGGGTCAAAGATGTGCCGAGCAGCCCACTCACCTGTCACTGTAAGCTGCTGCTGCCGCCGCTGCTGCTGCAGGAGTCGCTACTGCAGCCGGCTGGGCATAACGATACGCTGCATAGCCACCCTGTGAGGAGGCAATGAAGAGGAGGAAGGTGGAGGACAGAAAGAGGAAGAGGGCAGCATGTATGATAGAGGAGAGAGACACAATAAAGCAAGAGGTGGAGGAGGACGGAAAGAAGAGTAATTCTTGTTTAAAGATTGCTGTATTTCCTTTGCAGATTAACAGACTAGTGATGGATCTAAAGGGTTAAATTGTGAGGAAAAACTGCTGAGAAGAGTGAAAGATTAACAAGCAGTCAGCAAAACTGACTAATCTGGTGCAGCACAGCATTCACAATGATGTAGCTCAGGCTCTTGTGTCTCTCCCTCCATGACTAACCTGGATTTTTTTTTTCTAATTGTTCTTTTGTGTTTCGTTGTCTTTATCCTCCACAAATGCATCACCTAAGGGCATTACTTTACCCACCGGGAGTTGGACATGGAGGGAGAGAGATTTTATACCCATAACTTTACCCCACCCCGGTTCCCCTACCAAAAACACACAGTTAAGGAAAGGGGAAGAGGTGGTAAGATGATTGTGTCATTATTTTAGATGGGACAGCTGATGAACACACACAAGAAACTACAGGTGTAAGAAGACAGCCAGTTGGATTAAAAAATGCACACACGCACGCTCACATGGCCAGCGACCAATCACTACCAGACACAGCATGCTTTCCCAAACTCAGAATGTACAGGGTATTAGGCCAAACATCCCTTAAAAAAACACTCTGCTGCATTCTAGAGCTGTAATTGGGCCTGAAAAGTTAGGCCTGACAGAATTCGGCCCGAGCCCGGTCCGAGCCCACAAATACATTTTTGATTGACAGCCCGAACCCGTTTACAGCCCGACATTATTCAATCGCTCAACATGCCTTCTCAGCGAGGAATTCCCTGTCGTTTTGCTGTCGTATTTTAAGAGAACGTTACATTTCTTGCATTTTACATAACCCACTGGGTCATTGTTCTTGTTATGCACATGTTCAAAATGTTGCCACACCTCAGACTTAGCTGCTGCTGGTGTAACCAAAAAATATACACCAGAGGCAAGCCTTTGTTTCACCTCATCCATCTTCGTTCTTCGCAATGCATCTTTCTCGCACTAATTGACCCCCGGGTCGGGTTCGGGCTAAGAATTACAGCTCTACTGCATTCTACCCTAAAGAATCAGTCACGACCAAGTCCCGGCATTCAGGACCACACAGTTGCTGCTACGTGGGGAAGGCTGGACTAAAAAGGGGGTAGGGGAAGGAAAGGAGGAGGAAGAGGAAGGTGTGATTGAGAGGAAGGAGGGTAAAATAAGAGAAGGTAATGGAGAAAGTAGGTAAGGAAGAGGAGGAGTCAGACAAACACAAGAGTGGATGAAGGGAGAGGGAAAAAAATGATAAAGGGCATACAAGAGGAAGGTTTTGTGCAAAAAGACCGACACAAAGATGGGAGGTTATAGAAAAAAGTTAAGAGGAAATAGGGAGCACTGGGGGAAGTCAGCCTTCTAAGTACTGTATGTCTGCATGCTGACACTGATTCAGTTAGCATGCTACTGGTGAAACAGATAGGGAGATTCCTGGAAGGGGTCTGAATTTACTGCTGTTTGGATGAATATTCATGTCCTACATCCCTCCTATTACTGGACATGTTGCAGCTTGTAGTGTCTATTAAGGCCTTATTTATATCATGTGCTGTTTGTATTTCCAGCTTAGCATTTAGCATTTAGCTTTCTGACAGTATAATTTTCACTTAAGTGCATGATGTAAAGTTTGTGTTCAATCTGCAGGCTTTAGAACAATAATGGAACTTCAAGAAAGGTCTAACAAAATCAGGGCATTCCTAGCTGGAATAATGACGTCATCCGCTTTTCTTACTTCAATTATTTATTTTGATGCTGGAATATAACTATGTGAAAAAAAATCCCAGTGGTAATTTGTTTTAATGTACCATATCTTGTCTTAAAAATCTAATTAAATGTATTAAATTCACATGATTTTTACTGTGGGGTGTTAACATCTGGTCGCCCAGGGACAAAGCAAAAATGAGAAAACATGCCTTTGTTTTCAGTGTACAAAATGTTCCTGGATATACTGTCATGGAAAAGGCTTGAAAACTTTGTCACTCATCTTTCTTTTGGTTAAGGAAACAGAGCCGCTGCTCAAGTATTGACCTTCAGTGCTGTTATTTGGAATCATACATCTATTTCTCCTGTAGATATTTTGTGAATGTGCGTTTTATGTTGAATATTTTTATGAATTCAAATTTAATCTAATTCGACTTTTCTCCCCCTTCCGCAACTCCACCCATGTCAGAATCCAGTGAGTTAGTAGAAGAAGACAGAGAAGGCATTTCAATCTCAGATGGTCAATAATGTCTAGCAGCACGCAGTCATTGGAGACGAAGAGGATGCACACTGGCTCTCACACAAAGTGTGTAAACCCTACCTGGGGCAATCTGTCACTAATGTCCTGAAACACTAGTCTACAGAGAGAACAGAAACAGCTATTGTCAACCTGGTCTCTCTCTCTCTCTCTCACACACACACACACTGCGCACACACACACACACACACACACACTGCACACACTCAATCACATTGGTACAAATCTAACTCACAAATGCACAGAGACAAACCCTAGAGGAGTCTACTCATGAATGAACACACTCCTAATTCAAGTGTGTGTGTGCCAGGCTGTTTATATTTCTATATTTGAATCAATTAGATGGGTGAAACATACTGCTTGAAATTGTACATTACGCATATTTATGAAAATCTGATAATTTACAGTTTGGTACATCTCTCTGTGATGAATCAAAACACCCAAAAGTACACGTCTCTATGGGTTTGGTCCATGCCATTTCGCACTTGAAAACCCACAGGCAAAAGGGGGAAAATGTAGGTGAGGAGTGAGCCATTAGAGCAGAGATAGAGGTATACTTACATAGAGATCAGCCGCACCATAAAAACCATCCTGATAGGCCATCACACTGAGAGAGAGAGAGACAAGAAAGGAAGGAAAAGGAGAGAGTACAGAGGAGTCGTGGTGGAAGGTAAAAACAAAAAAATGGTGTGATGCGCCACCATGTGGGCATTGCAGAAAACAACAAACAAGAGTGACATTTGAGGGAGAGAGAAGTGAGAAAACGATGCCAAACAGATTGTGAAAGAGAGAAGAGAAAGAAGGGTGAGATTATTACACACCGTGCAACATGCAAGACAAAAATACCACCTCTTTGTATACAAATGCACCGACTTCAGAGTGATACTACTGTTACTTCAGCCGGCGAGGGAGTCGGAAATACTATTCAATTAAATTTTTACGTGGTAAAGAATCAGATTGTTACAACTTCTGAAGTACAAGGAAATGGTATTTCAGCTGAGCACACTGTCAATGACTTTACCTTAATAAAAATATATTCAAACACTCAGCATGCGCAGTTATGAAATCATTATTTTTAAATAAGTGAAAACATGCAATAAAAGAAAAGTCATACGCATACTACAACCCCAAATCAAAAAAAACTTGGCACGGTATGTAAAATCAAAATTTAATCTGAAAATAGTGGTTTGTAAATCATTTGTGTCCTGTATTACATAGATAACAATACAGCAGCATGATTATTTGATGTGATACCTCATCAGTTTTATTCTTTGTTCGAACTAAACACTTTAATTCTGATCACTGCAACACATTCCAAAAAAGTTGGGAAAGTAAAGCGTTTACCACGGTGTGATGTTGCCGTTCCTTTTCACAACACTTAAAAGATGTTTAGGGACAGATGCATTGGTGCCATCACAGAAGTATAAGTTGCTGAGGGCACTGACGCAACCCCAGACCATGACAGACCTGGTAACAGTCTGGATGGTCCTTTTCGTCTTTGGTCCAGAGCAAATGGCGTCTATTCCTTCTAAAAAAAGACTTGAAATACTATTCGCAGGATGCCACATTTGTGCCAAATCATGACAGCAGTCACCTGTTGACATCACCTGTTTCAAATGGAGTCATCATTTCATTGTCTTACTTCATTACCAGCCATGAAATGTAATCGGCCCAACCTTTTTTTGGAATATGTTGCAGGGATCAGGATTGAAATGAGTGTTCATTTTGAACAAAGAATAAAACTGATGAGGTATCATATCAGATAAAAAAAAATATATTTTGCTGTATTGCTTTCAATGTAATACAGGACACAGATGATTTACCATTCACTATTTGATTTTACATACTGTGCCACCTTTTTCTAATTTGGGGTTGTATTACAGTACGTCTACATTTCATTATCAATCACAGTTTACTGACAAATTTATAAGCTTTCTTATATATGTTTAAATGTGTTTACCCAGGGTATGTAGGGATTGCAGGTTGTGGCACAGCTGCTCTGACTGCACTGTAGACAGGCCGGGCACGACCCCGGAGGTGAGCGCCTCGAAAGGTCGCAGCAGTGGATGCAGCAGCAGCTGCAGCAGCTGCTGCTGGGTAGGGAAACCCTGGCACTGTGAAATGAGGAAAGCCAAGAAAAAGAAAGAACATCATCTGCTATTTACCTAGTTCCAATATTTTTTATTTTATTCATCCTTTGTCTATCAGTCTTGTTACCTGTATAGAGCTCAGGGCTGTACATCGCCCCAACCACCGGACTCAACTTCCATCCAGCTGTAGTCGACAAAAAACAAAAGCAACACATGTTTGAAGCAATATATCACGGGAAATTCAGTGAAGCATCAAGACGCTTTATGACTTGTGCATTTGTTTAAAGTGATCTCTGCAGTTCATTTCACTGTTTATTGTAAAGGGAGGATGTATAAAAGGTTTCTGACCATTTGTCTGCACAAGGCTGTGACAGTTCTCATTCTGTGTCATAACTAGGGCTTGGCAGTGTTATCACGTACTTTAAATTCTCTTAATTATTTTCTTTCTATTGTCCAAATAATCATTCTAAGAAAATTGTGATGAAGTTTTTCTTTGGTTTTGTCTGACAAAATATATATAATATATAGAATTCATTGTATTAATATAAACTGGAGTGTGTATGCTTTAACTATATTGTGATTTAAAGTTAAAAAAAAAAGGTGATATGCAGCACAGCTCTAAGCCACTTTATATCAAAACAACCTGAACAGAGCTAGAGTTTTAGAAATGTATTACCATATGGTAGTGCAGCGAGAGCCTCTCCATTAGCATATGGCGTGGTCATCTTCTTGTTTGTCATCACTCGGGCTGTGGCATTATTGACCTGGACACCAAAAAAAGTGGTCAGAGCATAATTTAATAGTATTTTAATAGTCTAATAAGCACACAAATAGTGAGAACTGATCGCAATGATTCACATTTGTGTTTCAGGCTTTCTAAAACCGAATGCATTCCCTGATTAATTTATCCACTGAGTTTGAGGTGTCAGTCAACTTTAAATAGTTTTGTACTTATGAGGTTAATTCTGTTGATGAGTAGCAATGGCTTTTGATGCATGCGCTTCTTTTGAAAGAGAAAGATATTGAAAACAAGGATCCTAGTGAGTTGTCAGGCAGTTTTGCACACAAATAATGCAACCATTGGCACACATAACAAAGAAAACAACAAAATATTTCAGAACAAAGGCATTCAAAAAAATAAGAAAAATCCAAGACCATTATATTGCTACCTTAAAAAAAAAAAAAAAAAAAAAAAAAGAGGGAAAAAGGTGAATTAAGCGGCAGATTCATCCGTGGAACACAATGCAAAAGCATCAATTGTAGAGTTCATACACAAATTACACACAGCCAATCAAGAGCGCACCACATCACCAGAAGGTGAGCAAAACTGGCCAATCAGCAAGCATCAGATGCAGCAAAAGACCAATCAAAAAAGGCTGGCAGCCCTCCCACACGTCATACAGAAAAAGGCGGAAGGAGAGGGAGAGAAAGATGCAGGAAGAAGAGCCAGTCCACATGAAACTACACAGAAAAAAAAAAACACATACATGATGTGGAGAAAAGAGAGACGAAGAGATTTAACAATCCATCCAAATGTGCAATTCTTCTAATGAACAAACAGAAACTACAAGATGCGGTACACACGTACAAAATACAGCTGACCATTTGCCTACATTGGGTCTAACTGTGCATGAGCAACAATTGAGAAATGATGAATACAGAAAGAACAAGAACAGAGAGAGTACAGTCTAGATAAAAGACAGAGAATGGGGATACAAATATCATTCCTCAAAAAAAAAAAAATCAAACCAAACGATGGTTGTGAAACACTGCCAGGCATTCCAGATCAGTGTCGCAAACCAGAAAGACCTCGAAGCACACAACCACCAACACACACCAACCCATACCATACTGAGCAAAACGTACCACGACGACACCTATCACACAGAAATCACAACGAAACGCTGCCATTAATCAGTGGCTCGCTTTGTTTTGCTGGGGAATGATTTGATGGCAGCTGTTCTTATTTCTTAAAAAGTCTCAAATGCTAAAACTTTACATTGCATATCATGTGTCAAAAAATGTTTTTAAGTAGAATAGGCTTGCATCCACTTTGGACACGCACTATTCAACAACACACATCTATAATTTGAATGTTGAAACTAAACAGCCATACCTCTACAACTGTCTGCAGTCTATAAAGTGATACAGAAAGTGAAAATCAAGTACTACAGTGCACCATAATATACAGTCAACTCAGACAACTATTATCCTCTCCCCGGTAAAGCTAACAAGAGCGCTCATGCTTCAGCATGCTGTCCCACTAAGGTGCAAAAATGCAGCTATTGGCTGACACATGACACAGAGAGATGACATAGTACTATATGATGTCAAACAGATGACGAGAAAGAGAGTAAACCATGCAGGATACAGCTCTGGAATTGAATGCTGAATGCAGTTAGAGAGGTGATTGGAATGAATGCATAAGAAGTGGTAGTCATAGTTGTTGCACTTGCAGATAGATGCAGTACATTCAGTTATACAAGTGGCCTTTATAATGCCATGCGGTCAATGGCTAATCTCGTAATCGTTTCATTCACCACCTCCCCAATCACAGGATTATTCAATCAGGTTCTGTCAGTCAAATCAATCAATCAATCAATCAATCAATCAATCATCAATCTCCCTTCAGTAAAGGGGGGTCCTTCATTTGGGTGTTGGGTGCATTTTATTTTATTTGGACGGATGGGGTGGGGGGAGGGGTCATTCAAAGATGATGCCATGTGTACACAACTTACCGTTGCCAGGGAAACGGCGTGAGGACACGCGAGCAGTTACCGTGGAGACTGACAACAACAACATACAAAAATCATCAGGGAAATAGAGAAAATATATGTAAGAAAGAAATGATGAACCAAAAAAAGTAAACAAAACGAGGTAATGAAAAGCAACCCCAACCCTGTGACAGAGAGGAAGTGATGTAACAGGTCACGTGTCAACAGTCACCTACAAGTATCAGCCATTTGACAACGATCTAGCCTCGGCTGGTTAAAACCCACTACAAACACAGGTCGTAAAAGTTTAGGAAGGAGCAAACAAATGGAAACAGAAAATGTGAGGAATTTAAATCTAACCTGAGAGGGAAACTAGTCATTACTACTGCCCAGATTATAGTCAAGTAACTGACAAAATAATCACTATAAACTCAAACTTGATCCCATTCTCATGATTATGCTGACTGACTACATCACAGAACAAGAAAATAGAGATATGAGTGGAGGATGGACAGAAGAAACACAGGTGCATATGAAGACACACAACCTGGGAGAGACAGACAGACAGACTGGCCTGGTGAAAAAAGAGTGGACAGAGATGGAGAACTAATATTTATTTTAAAAAAGGGGGGGAGGGGGTGACGGCTACGTATTGCATCCTCTTCAGTTGTTCATTCTCTCTCTCTGCCCTCCATATTTTTATTCTGCACACCCACACACTGAGACAGAGAAGAGTGCAGGACATTCAGAACCATGCAAAAGAGCTTTAGAAGCAAATAAAAATTAAAGCAGGATTCAAAATCAAGAGCCAGATGAAATGGCGAAAGCATGGTTTATTTGATCTTCAAGGCCATTTGCAACTGAAATCTGAGCCCATGCTGACAAAATAAATAAAAAAAATGTCACAACAAAATGCAATTCCATGAAATCTGGTGTTCTCTTTCAGGAGTGGTGGATGCAAGTGTGTGTGTAAACAATATATATATTTTTACCATCCATCTGGCACGTCTGAAATTAAACAGTCAGCTTTTTGATGCATCAGAAATGACAGCACACTTCTCACAGCAGTCTCATTCCCTAAAAATGCCCCCTTCATGCATCAGTCTCGTAACACATCAAACATAAAAAACGCTGACCCAAAGGTACCCGCATAAAGTGAAAAACTCCATGACGACATCTGACCTCATGATCCATCCATGCAGCATACAGTAGCCTCTCACGGACACCAGCAAGCACTTTTACTTGAAGAGGAAAATAACTGAGAGGCTTTTAACTGCCCTTCCAGTCATAAACACAACCATAAACCAAAAATGGTCACTCATCATGATCATGGAAGAAGTGATGATGGTGATGGAATTTGGTTCAGGAAAACAAAACAAAACAAAACAAAAAAAAAAAAAAAAAAAAAAAAGGAAACCAAACCAAACATCCCACATGCTGTGACGGAAGCGGATATCGTCAGCAACTGTGTCAAAGTGACATCTCACCAGCCATGCCTGTTGTGTAGCCACTCTACCCAGCATGCTTTTCAAATCACACAGCTTTAAGATCAAGGTGCAATGGACAGCCCACAACAAGAAGGCATAACAGCATAAACATCGACAGGAAGTGCCGTCATAAGAGACGTCTATGTGCGCAGCACCACTGCACCATGCTGTAGTGAAGCCAGAGGGGTTAGAGTAGAACACATACAGCAATCAGGAAACCTTCTCTGGGGCAGAAAGGACCATAGCAGACTCATTCTTACTGCTGGACACAGAAAGGAAAACAGAAGAGGACATGTGGTGAGTTACCTCGATCTTGCGTCCTTCCACCAGTGTGCCGTGAAGCTTTTCTCTGGCCCTCTCTGCATCTGCGCTCGACTCAAATGTTACAAAACCGAAACCCTGCGAGCAGAAGAAAGAGGAAAATGGAAAAAGAAAAAAAAGGAGGGGAGAGTGAGAGAAAAGTCAGTAACAGTTGTTAAGCTTTTCTAAGCTTGTTTATTAAGCTCAATTTAGGAATGGCGTGGTGTTCCACATGTCCTACCTTGGATCCCCTCTCATTGAAAATGATCTCGACATCAAGGATTTTGCCAAATTGCTGAAACAAAACGGGAGAAAATGAAAAGTCATGTCCTGCATCTTGCCACAGGGTGTCAGTAATGCTCAACCATGATGAGTTGGCATTGAGCCAGTTCTGTTGGTCCTTTCTTTTCACCCAATCTTCCTTGCCTCTGCTCTTTTCTATGCGCCACATTTCAGACTTTACTTTTACAAAACAGCCGAGCTCAGCCCTTCCTTTTAGCTGAACCACATGAGATGGAACCATATTTTTATTTGAAATGTCTCTTGAGGACAATAGGATATAAAGAGTAAGAAGTCATCTGAGTTCAGAGTGTTGACGTCACCCAGTGGGTTCTTTGAGTCATTATTTTTACTGTTTTTAAATCCAAAGCTACTTTTCTGGGGTATTGTTATATGATGACGTCAAGAGAGAATATTCAGGTCTACAAACCCCAAACATCTGCCGTAGGTCAGGGTCTCGGAAGCGGAAGGGGATATTGGACACGTGGAGCCGTTTGGGGGTCCCCTTAGCATCTGAGTCATCTCCGCTGCTCCCCCCTCCTCCTCCTCCTCCTCCTCCTCCTGAGCCAACCCCCGACTGCCCGTCAATCTGGGAGGACCCATCTGACTGCTAGAACAGAGGCAAAGGATATGAAATCTGCCAGATATTTTCCACATAAACTGATTAATCACTTTGTCCAGGAAATACAACAAACGAAAAGCTCAATCACAATTTCCAAGAGCACAGGAAGATAATCAAATTGCTTGTTTTTCTTTAAAATAATGACATTTAAGACTAGCTGAATAATTAACTGTTTTCTCTAGTTGTACTTGTGAAGCCGTTTGATTTTTTTAATGTAACAACTGCAGTGACGCAATGTTTTGTAAATGTATTTATTAGCTAATAAAAAAATGTATCATCAACTTTGAATCTGGAACAATTTACCAAAAATATGCCAAGCCACCACTAGTTTCAGCATATATGATGTATGAACTGGTTTTTGTGTTTTATTCCACTTTGGTCTGTTGATTGGACAAATTGTATCTCAATGTATTTTCCAGAAAATGTAAATGTTTATGTGCTTTCTTGAGCTGCTGCTGAGTTGAATGAAAAAATTTATCGTACCCTGTCGATTTAACAGTACAAACTATATAAGCTGTGTTTGTGCATGGTGGCTACACAGGGAACGGTGTTTTTCCAGGCATGGCAATTTCCTGAAGTCTTTTGTCAAACTGTTGAAGTATTTCTTTAAGTAAATTAGACAAGACATTTCTAGTCCACATTAAACACAGTCTATCATAATAAAATACCAGTTAGTCAACAGATGTGACTCTTTGCATAAGCCTGAAAAGATGTTTGAGAATGAACGTGTGTATGCATGAACGTGCACAAATCATTGTTTTGAGTTAGTAAATCGCATATACAGTCGCTTTATTATCAAGTGATGTTTGGGGCACTCCACCTCTGCTACATGTGCTTTATGTTACCTTCTACGTATAGAAAAGAGGTTTACAGATTTTAAACTTGAGATTCTGGGCTCAGAATTGGCGCTGTGGTGATGTTAGCTGCTTTTTAAGTATCATATTAATCACAATCCAGATATTGCTCTATACACTCGCCCTTTGCACCCTATTAAGACAAAGACCTGCAAAGTTGGCTGCAGGAAGAGTGTGGCTATTGGCGGCATTGGCGCCACTGTTTGCGGCGCCGCCAGCTTCCACGGAGCCCTGGACAGCCCCTGCTCCGTATAAGCTTCCCCCGTAATCCAGGGCCAGGCCGTTTTGAGGGGGTGGCGGTGGAGGTGGAGGAAATGTGGAGAAAGGTGGGGGGACGAGTCCCTCTTGACCGCTAGCACTATCCTGAGAGCCCTGCTGGAAGCAAGCGAGAGAAGAGTGAGAGAGGAGTGAAAGCTAAAGTAGCCAGCTGGCACAAATTCCACAGTATCTTTTACTAAGAGCATCACCCAACCACACAGAGACCACTTTCCCAAGAGCTTCAGTGTAAAAGTCATACACGCATGGATATTATATTTCCATTTCCCCACTCTGTGTGTGCATGTGTGTAAAAGCGTGCGTCTATCTACACCTTCCACCCATTAAATATTCAATGCAGCCACATCTATTATTGAGGGCCAGATGCCTCCATGCTCAAGAGTGTCATACAACAGCGAGTGTCGAATGCCTGCACACACTCACAAACACCTCTGCACACAAACCACCTTTGACACGCAAACACCCACACACCTAAACGTTCACACAAAGACCAACTGTTAGTGAGGAAGGCTGCCCGAGCGTTTTGTGGACATTATTAGCCTCAGAAAATAAGCACATTACAGATATTCGAGCGCACAGGAGAACATTAGACAAACACATGGTGGAGACACACAACCATGACACAAGCTATAACAACACACACATTCCTTGCTGTTGGCAGTGAGGCCTAGATACCCTAAATGGTAATAGTTAAAGAGCGGAGGGAGACAAGAGAAATGGATGATAGAAGGCGATGACTGATAGAAGAGGCACAGTCTGTTTCTAATCTCCTGCCGTCTTTTGGATCATTTTATAGTGTGCTAATAACTGCCATAACTAACCAATCATTTGAATACTGTAACACACTGTGAAAATGTTTAAATATTAATGTATTTATAACAAGACTACAAGTGTACATCCAGGCTAGATGCTGTGAGCTAAGTGCTAACGACCAGCTCGCCAACATGCTCACAGTGACAATCCTAAGATGCTAATCTTTAGCAGGTATAACATTTACCCTGTTCACCATCTTAAGTGTGTTAGCATGCTAGTGTTTAATTAGCAGGGTAAGAGTAACAAAGTACAACTGAAGCTTATGATAATGATATTACTTTTGCAGGCATTTGGCCATAAACTGAAGTAGCCTATTAGACAGATGAAAGTTTTGACCTGATAATGGCATCAAAAGTTCATCCTGAGAGGGATGTGAATGTGTGTACCAAATGTCAAGGCAATTCATCTAGTAGTTGCTGAGATACATTATCTAACACAGCCACAACTGTGAACTTGATGCTACAAGAAACGTCACGGAATCAACAGAGTTATTAGGACACACTATTTGGAACCCATGAATGTCTTTACAAAATTTCAGTTCAATCCATCCAGCAAGCACAGATATTTCAGTCCGCACCAAAGACGGTCACTGGCATCCCTAGAGTCATGCTGCCGGCATGGCTAATAAAAATACAACATACAGTATCTAACTTTATTGCAGAGAGAACTATGAAGTCCTGAACTTATTTCCATCATTGTCCGTCTGGCTTAACAGTCCATTCACCGAGATGGCCAATCAGTGCCTCACATTATGATATATATATATATATATATATATATACAGACACACACACACACATACATATATGACTGAAAAAAATTAATCAAAAAAGACAAACTGCTTGTTCTTTTTCTCATTTTTTTGTCTCATTGTCAGTAGTAATAGTAGTAGCACTAGAAACAGGCAGAAACAAAATGTATTAGTAAAAGTAACATTCTGTGGCTTTTTTTTCTCCACTGCTAAAATGATATCACCTCTAAAAAGACTCCACACTTACTAGACATCTGCTTGGCTACATTAACTTTTGTGTGTGTGTTTATGTGTGTGTGAGAGAGACAGTGACAGGCTGCAGCGATACCCATCTGAGTTGCACAATAGATCTCTGTCCCTTTGGGAGTGTTATAAGTGTGTGGGAGGGTGTGTGTGTGTGTGTGTGTGTGTGTGCGCGCATGCCATCTGTCTCCCAGCTTTTTGACCTTTCTCGGTGTCACACCTGTGACACAGCAGCCGGACCCCTCGACTCGGTGACAAACCAGGGGATGCCCGCGGTCGACTCTAATCGCATCGATGCTGTGACATGAGAGCAGCTACAGCAAAGCTACACAGAACAAACAGCAAGGTGAAACTTCATCTTGTGAATAAAACAGGTACACAAGTAAATACAACTCCACTTTCTGTAGTACACTGAATATTTACTGTTTGTACTTGTTAAAGCAAAGCAATTTCTACAAATAGAAAGGTCAGACATACGTCTGTAATTTCCAAACATTTTTAAATCTTGTCATGAGGATGAGCACATGTTCAATAAATAAATTAATTATTTACTTTGAAAGTGCATCTATTCATCCTGAATTAATGTGTTTTTCTTTAAATCGATTTTGTCAAGTGGAAATAATTTACCAGCTGACCTGGAAACCAGGACTATCTTTAATAATAAAAGGTTAAGCTACCGTATTTTATTAAGTAAAAAAAAAAAGGCACCTCTCGTCAAAATTCATTGAATCCATATAATGGCATCAAAAAACCAAAGGAAATAAAAGAGGTGTATGTATCTAATAATTTTATTAAAACCATGACGTGTGCACTAATCCTAGCTTCCTGGGAGCCTTTACAAAGACATTACTACAAATCACATTTAAATAATAAACTAGATATAACAAGGTAATAGACCTAATATAAATGAAATTGATAAGCCTAACAACATTTGATTGTATAAAATGATAGTATGTAAACAGTAAATTACAGGAAAACAATTTGTTTTAAAAGACTGTACGAGTTATTTTTAAATAAATTCTACTGCAAATATGTGGCACAAACATTCATTACCAACGTCTTTTTAAAGATAAGGCCCGTCATTTTCTATATAGTATTTTCAACACTCCACATACAGAGACTAAAACCAACAATGATTTGGCTTTACTAGTGGTTAATGTCGGTCAGTGTGTCAGTACTAAACGAGCTTGTTTGTCTGTGCCACAGATCTCCACTGTTGCTCAAAAATGATTAAAAAGTGAAACACACTGCTGCACTGGGTGACATGTTTCTTCATTACCAAACGTGAGACCTGAGTGAGAGGAGCTAGCAGAATGTAAACAAAGCTGATAGCTTGCACATGTGCAGTTGAGTCTGACTCGTGCCAACTTCACGAAATTATGGCTGCACGCAGCCTTTAGGGCAACATAATTGGGTCTGGGGTTAAAAAAAAAAAACATGTCAACCAGTGCAGAGGTGTGTTTTTTTTTGGGTTTTTTTTAACAACAATGGAGATCTATCGCACAGACAATCAAGCTAATCCAGGACCGACAGCTGACAGACATTAACCATGAGTTGAGGCAATTCATTGTTGTTTTTAGTCTCTGTAGGGGGATTGCTGAAAATACTATTAATAGGGCTAACCCAAATAGCAATTTTTGGTGATAATTTGCAGTGATAAAAAAGTAAAAAAAATAAAAATAAAAAATAAAAACTAAAACTAAACAAAAAGCTAGTTAAAGTTATAATGTAGTACTTCATCTACCAGATGAACAGAAGACAAATCTGACAACCCACTGGTTGTCATTTTAACCAGAAACAGCGGTGATCAGCAGAAGCTGCTAGTCGAACGATTTCCACACAGAGCTTTGCTAACAAGGTGTAGGTGTAACTGACACTGTACCGACTCCTGTGGGGGGAGGGGGGGTGGGGGGGGGTCTTGAATATTCAAATACTAAAACTGCAAATCAATTACCTACACAGTGAATGAATATCCAAATAGTTGGATATTCGGGTCCGGCACTAACTATTAGTATAGAAAATGACTGGCCTTATCCTATAAGCATTGTTCCTAATTTGTATATCATAATGTATATTATAAGAAAGTCACTTGCACCATCAGATCCTATTTTACCTGGTGGTTTATCCTGTTCTTTTTCTTGCTGACATGAGAGCAAAGGAAACACCACTAGGAATTTTAAGAGAAATGCATTCACCTCAACCTTTTATGACTGCAGCACTGCTCTGCCTGTTTTGATGTCAGCCACAAAATCACTGCCAGCCATCCTGTTATTTCACTCCCTCCTGTCCCTGATAACTCATAATAAATCCATGTTTATCATTAATGTCAACACTAAATCTGGTACCAAACCTTGCTGCTGTACTCGCCATTGCACACGTCCTCTTCTCATACCTATGTCCCCGAAGGGCCCCTGCTGCTCTCCTGCCAGGTGAAGAGTTTCCATCTCCACCAGAATAGAAACCACGTTCTGCATCTTTAGTGACTGGCACTCGAACAATACAGCCACCAGATTACTGACCGCAGTGTCCAAGTTTAACTTCATTCACATTTTCACACTGCAGCTGTGTCCGCTCATCGAAACCCTGCAGCTGTATGATCCTCATCCAATCTTGTCCACAAGCATCCAAATTAAGATTCGGCTAAATGATAACATCTCTCACATCCTCTGCTTCCTGTGCCGCCTTAGTTTCATGTAGCAGCACAACCTTATTATACCGTACCTTGGTTCTCAGGAAATGCTGGTTCATTACTTGCAAGACTGGTACTTCTAATTATTACCTATGGTGACATGTAATACTAATATATACATATAGTTCTGCAAAATCTCTATCTTAACAGCATACAGAATAGAGTGTGTTGGTTAAATACTGATAAAGGTGTTTCTCAGCTGTATGTTTTTCCATTTGTTTTCTGTTAGTAGATATAATTTCTGCTACAATTAATGGACAAAAGCTCAAAATTAGACTAGAAAAATGCTAATAGGTGAAGATATTCACTGCAGGAAGAACCAACTGTTACATCACTGATAGTAATAATGAGAACATCTGCTGCAATCATCTAATGAGGCATCCTGAATCGTTATATTTGTTCAATTCAGGAAAAGAGCAGAGTCTGAGAAATTAGTCTGTTTAGATTTAGCTTTTAACTGCAGGAGACAAAATGCATAATATACAAAATGATACACTACATGACACCTTACATCAGTCTATCCTAGATTAACCGCATTCGAGGAGGTGAAAATGATAGCGGGTGGAGCAAGGTATTCTGGGTCACCAGGTAACATCTGACCTG